TCTTAGAAATTTTTCCTCACGATAATAAAAAAAAAAAAATTTTTTTTTAAATTAAAATTTAATTATTTAAAATTTTGAAATTTTTAATATTAAATACCGTTTTAAATATACATATATAATAATACTCTCATTGTGGTTGAAATATTAATAATAAAATCAGGTATATATTATTCTTCTGTGCGCAATAATACGCGCGCACTGAACGGCAAAATTGTTATTGCGCTATTTCAGAGAAAATTATCGCTTAATAAACGGTAGTTATTGGCAAGGAAACGAGAAATTATAGTAGTTCAGGCGGTCTATTACAACATTTCATATATATATATATATACTTCTCTGGTTGAGATTTTTTTCCTTGTTCTAATCCGCGTTATACTTCCTTTTTCTTCTCGTTTTGCTTCTGTTTATATTATCATTGTCTTTTAGAATATGAATATTAAATCTTCTTCGCTTTTTTTTTCTTTTGTAAGCTTACATGTGCATTTTTACTCACACAATCTGCAAACATGGTCCATTAGACCCTGGGCACTTTACCTAGAATAGCGAAATGTTTCATTACACTGAGAAAAATGGAAAAAACACAGAAAATTAAAAGGCATTAAAATATGCTGTAACGCTTATTATTTTAATCCAATTTTGCTTATTTTAATCCATTTTGGAAATTAAAAATTAAAATAAGCTGCAACGCTTACTATTTTAATCCAATTTTACTTGTTTTAATTCCAAAATGGATTAAAATAAGCAAGCTTATTATTTTATTCCCATTTTGCTTATTTCAATCCATTTTGGAAATTAAAAATTAAAATAAGCTGCAACGCTTATTATTTTAATCCAATTTTGCTTATTTTAATCCATTTTGGAAATTAAAAATTAAAAAAAATTAAAATAAGCTGCAACGCTTATTATTTTAATCCAATTTCGCTTATTTTAATTCATTTTGGAAATTAAAATAAGCTGAAACGCTTATTATTTTAATTTTTAATTTCCAAAATGGATTAAAATGATAAGAGTTGCAGCTTATTTTAATTTTTAATTTCCAAAATGGATTAAAATAAGCAAAATTGGATTAAAATAATAAGCGTTGCAGCTTATTTTAATGCCTTTTAATTTTGCTGTGAACGAATAAAGTAACTTTTACTACTTTAAAAGTAAAAACGGAACTGTCCGAAGTTTCTAGCAATTTTTACTATACAGAAATAGTAAAATTTACTATTCCCGGAATAATTTTTACTATTTCAGGATGTAAATTTTACTATTTCTGTATAGTAAAAATTGCTAGAAATGCGCAGAAACTGCGGACAATTAAAGTTTTCCTTTTAAAGTATAGTACAAGTTAAACTGGAATCGTCCTCAGTTTCTGGAAATTTTTACTCTATAGAAATAGTAAAATTTACTCCTGAAAAAGTAAAACTTATTCCGGACATAGTGAATTTTACTATTTCTGGAGTAAAAATTGCCAGAAATATGCAGAAACTGCGAATGATTGCGGTTTTACTTTTAAAAGAAGTAAAAGTTACTTTATTCGTTTTTCAATTTTTCTCCGTCTATAATAGCAAAAGTTTTACTTGTTTCAGTTAAATCTTTTGCTATGCTAGTAAAAATTTTCGCTGTTTTAGGTAATTTTTTTTCCATGCTCTCCAAATATTGTATAAAAAGATTAAAAATTTTTGAAATATTTTTTACTTCTCTCGTTCTTTAGTGGTGTAATCAATAAATTAGTTTCCCAGGGGCTAAAAAGTAATTTTATTTTTTCAATATAAAAAGTTTCTGAAACTTTCAAATATTGTATATAAGGCAAGCACGAAAGATTTCTCGTGCGGCTTGGAACTTTGTGTTCGCGGAAAGAGTTTTGTGTATATATGATGAAAAGAAAGAAAGAAGAAGAAGAAGAAGAAGAAAAGGAAAAAAAAAGAGAATCTTCACACAAGTTAGAGTGAGACAGAGGGAAATCTTGTTTCGCATTCTGCAGGGTTCTAGTATAGTCGAGAGTATATAAGAGGGTCTAACTATAAACTGGAGTCCCTACCCTTTTGCTCAAGCTTCTATTTTCAGCAAAAGGCGTTTGTCGCATTGCCAAACTCCCCTTTGCGGGTTTGCGTTCCTTTGCGTACTTCTTTCACTGTAAAAAAAGCCTTTCCGGTCCAGTGACTTGTGGGCAGAAAAGATTCAAAAAATTTTTTTTTCTTTTCTTTATTCTCCACGCGCCATGACTGTTTCATTCACGTGCCTATATAGTTTGTGTGTATTTACTATTTAGAACAAGAATATTATAACGCACGCAAACCTCGCGTGTCAAGCAAATTTTTTTTTTACCCCTTGAAAATTACCACTTGTCATATCATATAAAATTGAGATTCTGAAAAGTTGTTTTTATTAATTTTTAAAAATTTTGAAAACTAAAAACAAGAGTATGAAAAAATGAGTCATAATAACTTTTTTGAACCCTTTGAAAATGATGAAGCATTTTTATTAATTGTCTTTGGCAATCAAAAATGTTGGAACCTTTTAAAGCAATTCTTTAGGGTTTTAAAAGCCGCACGTGTGAGTATTTAATAGAGGGACCGCATGCTATATAGGCTTCTATATATGCTTTACAAATAGGATGTAAAAGTAGATGGGAAGACCTCCGGAGGTCAGTGTACGAACCTATTTCAACGTCGACGACGTTGACCTCCGTTTATCATTTTTTTTTTTTATTTCCACTTTAGCTAAATGATATTATTTATTATAGTCAAACGAGGTAATGCGCGTCCTCGTTTCATATAAATGTATACCTTCACAACAAGGGTTGGCGTAAACTTCATCAGTTCCGTGAAGAAGATCAGCAATGAAAGGGATTCGTTGTATTCGCGACTATAAAGCACACGTTTTGAGTTAAATTTCACGCGAAAAAAAATAAAAATTAACTTTCTAATTTATAAAAGAACGTTGAAAAAAAAACTGAAATGAAAATTAAATTATAAAAGTAAATTAAATATAAAATGTTAATGAATAAATATTCAAAGTGAAAACACAGAAAAAGATGAAAGAGATTTTTTTTTTTAATATATTAATTTACATATCTTGAAGGTTAATAAATTGCTCGAATAAGTCGGAAGACTTAGGTATATATTTTTGTTCAATGTAATATACAATGGGCTCTATCAGTAACAGCTTTAACCTTCATTGACACCAATCAGTCATGAAACCTCATCATTCTACATTTTTCTGTCGGAAAAAAATCATTTCATCCATCAAACCTTAGTAATCATACAAATCAAATTTAATCACCGTAAATAACTTTTACAAAATAATATAGTTTTTTTGTTCAAATTCATTAAAAAAAACGATCGTAAATTATTTTCTATTCACATAAAACTCAAAAGAATTTTGAAAAAAAATTTTTGCTTCGTGTAATATAAAATTAAATTTTTCTCTCTGTAAGGTGTACAAATTTTATTGGTTATTTGACAAACGTCTGGCAACTGTTAAACCGCATCTGTTTTTATTATCTAATCATATTGGAATTATTTGAATATGAGATAATAGTATATTTTGACTACTAAAATTTTTCTATACCTATTTAAATGTTCTCATTCATTTTGATAAATTGAATTAAAGTAAAAATGTTTCTTGATAAGGGAATTAATTTTTTTAAATTACTAAATATTTAAATATTATTAAGGGAGTGTACAAAAATTACGTAACATTTTTTGGGGGAGGGGGGGGGGCAAGCACTTTGTTACGGACAGCAGAAAAAATGGCGCTAATGTATGCAATAACGTGTTACATGGGGAGGGGGGTGGGGGTCAAAATTAAAAAAAAAAAAACGTTACGTAATTTGTCAATGCTCCCTAAGTTACTAAATATGTATTTAAATATATTATTTACTAAATATATGTTTAATTATATATATATTATTTAATTTAAATAAAAAACCTTTATAAAAATTTGGTGGATTTTAAAAAAGGATTACAAGGTCAATTTTGGGCGTATATACTTTTTTTAATCCATATACAACTTGTTGTTTTCACTCTGATGACAGGTACTTACACCTGAATGAATCGGGGGAAAATTTTTATATTTTAATATTGATAGAGAGCGAGGCTAAAGTGAAGTGGACCTTCGCTTAATTTTTTATGAAGCTGCGAGACACCTTCTTATATATATATATATACTTAAGAATGGAGTGAAAGTAATACACGCGAGTTTAACTCTTACGTAATTTATTGCTAACAGGTGTAATATCTGCAATTAAAGTTCAATCACGCCTTTGACGTTTTGTTGCTCTATAGCATGTACCTGCATCCTCTAAATTCACCAGAAAAAATGAATATTGTTGTGATTTCCGATATTATTTTTTAAATGATTCTTTTTCTTTTAATTAATATTTGTTCATTTACTTATTTTATTTACAATTTTTTCTTTAATTGTATATTTTTTTATTTATTTTATTTATTATTTCTTTATTTTTTATTCAAAACTTTTAAAATTACATCGGGAAAAATTATTTGAATTAAACGTCTAGACTGCTAATGAGACAACTTAAACTTTCACTTGAAGAATTTCTGTAACTTATCATGAGAAATAATTAATCAGCCGCAGAATGCTTCCAATCTTGAATGTCATTCTGCATCCATATAAATGAGTTTCATTTTCCAAAATAAAAAAAAAAGGGGAAAAAAAACTCGTCAAACATGTACAAATTGAGAACCTTATATACATATACAATAAAATGTATTTTATTCAGAAAAAAAAAATGAGATTGCCAATTGCAAAATAACAACATAATGAAACATATATCGGATGAAAAAACAAGAAAAATTGCAAAATACTATTGCAAATAATAAATATCGCATCTTAAAGATTAAAAATGAAAAAAAAAAATGTTACTGTTTTTACTTTAAATATCCATGATAAACGCATATACACTTTTATGATCAAGATGTTTTCTGCTAATTACAAGAAAACGTTAGCACTGTATTTTATGACTAATGAATATGTTATCTTCTTTGTTACAGGTATGAGCAGTGTGCAACTTTCATAGTCTCTCTTTCTCAATTCAAGGTCTCTTTGAAGTGTATATTATAAGAAAACCCACATATGAACAGGTAACACAACACCTTTTTAAAATAATTTGTTAATATAAAAAAAAATATTCGCGCATGAAAAAAGAAAAAACCCGTTTAAAATAATTATATATCTTTTTGAAACGAGAATGAAAAAAAATTAAAGAAGCGTGAATATAAATTACTAAACTGTAAAATATGAAAAATTAAAAGTAATTAAAAAAAAAAAAAAAATACTTGCACTGGACAAAGAAATATAAGGAATGTAGAGCTTGTTACATAAAAACTGCATGCAACACGCATTTCTTTGGATTATATACTATTGCGTGAGATTTTATTTTTAAACTTTCTCCATATTCAATATATTTTTTAATCTGGAATAACAAAAGCTTTTAATAAATAGAGAAAATTATATAGATAACAATATTGAGGGCGCATGAATATCCCATAAAAATCATTAGCTAGAACTTTCATTTGTATGAATTTCATAGAATTTTTTTTTTTAGACGAATTTTCATTTTTCTAATTAGCATTTGAGTTATCTTTTTTGTAAACGAAATTTTATTCAACATAATTTTCAGGTACCGAATTTTCATTTAACATCATTTTTATTTTAACAAATTTTTTTGTTCTCCAACTTTGTATTTTAAAGCATTATAATTTAAACCAATTTTAATTTATCAACATTCTCATTCAACAGAATTTTAGTGATTCGAATTGTTTACTGTCAGAATTTTTAATTTATCGAATCTTTATGTGTTAGAATTTTTATTTACACGAATTTTTATTTGATAGAATTCCTAAAACACCGAATTATCATTACAAATGTCCGAACAAACAAACGTCAGAAAGATTTCGGCGCAATTTTTCAAAATAGACCAATCAGAAATTATTAAGAAAATTGTAATTGGTCTATTTTAAAATAAGCGCCGAAATCTTTCTGACTTTTGTTTGTTCCGCTATTTGTAATTTCTGTCAAATGAAAATTCTCTGGTTTAGTAATTCTATTAAATAAAAATTCGTGTAAATAAAAATTCTAACACATGAAGATTCGATAAATTAAAAATTCTGCCATTAAACAATTCGAATCACTAAAATTCTGTTGAATGAGAATTTTGATAAATTAAAATTGGTTTAAATTATAATGCTTTAAAATACAAATTTGTAGAACAAAAAAATTTGTTAAAATAAAAATGATGTTAAATGAAAATTCGGTACCTGAAAATTATGTTGAATAAACGTTTACAAAGAAGATAACTCAAATGCTAAATTGGAAAAATGAAAATTCGTCTAAAAAATAATTCTGTCAAATGAAATTCATACAAATGAAAATTCTAGCTAATGATTTTTATGGGATATTCATGCGCCCCCCAATATTTATCATATTTCACCTAGTGCGCATTAAAATAAAATTTAGTGATCTATTGCGCATCTAGATCAAAGGGCGGGAAATTCAAAAAAAGAAAAAAGTTTTCGCAAATCTTTATAGTAGGGAATAATTTAAAAAGAAAATACGACAGGTGGTTCCTGCGCGCGAGGCAGAATTAACGAGAGGAGAGTTTTGACCCATTATCTGCGTGTCGGTTTTTCAAAAGTGATGGCGGGAACGTTTAATTGGAGGTTCATGCAACGGAGAAATTATTGTGGGTGCGCGAGATGGTTTTTTTTTTTAAAAACACAAGGCGAGTGAGAGGGGAAAATGGAATTCCCAGACAATTCGCGCTTCTTTCTGTGTGCGCAAAGGGGGTAAAGCCAATTCGCCACGATCGATCAATTCAAGACGTACTTACAGGTCGATCGAACTTAAACATCGGGTCAAGTTTTCTTGGGAACGATTTCGTCTCGTGCGTTTTCATCCGTGAAAACGTGGATTTAAACACAACTCTGAATAAACACACTGTCGTTTTTTTTTCTTTTCTTTTTTTTTTCTAACGAAAAAATAAAATAAAAATCGAATTTTTTTTCGATTTAATTGAAAAATATTTGCAAATATTTTAATTAAAACAAAAAAATTATATAATAAAAATAATATAATAAATATAATAGTATAAATATAATACATAGTAAAAACTAAAAATATAATAAGGTAAACAATATAAATTTACAATTTGATTAATACATTGCAAATTAATTTGAATTATAAATCTATAAATAAATTACTAGTAATTTATTGATTTACAGTGTTATTTATATGTTTTTAAATATTAATTTTTCAATTTGTATAGTATATGTTAAACTTGTTTTTTTTTTTTTTTTTTAATGAAAATATTATATAAATAAACGGTTCGAAGAAAATAAAATTATAACTAGACAGAGTTTAATCAAGTAATAAATTAGATTTTCTTATCGAAATTTAATCAGAAGACGTATAAGGCTAATCTAATTTAATTACGGGGCAATAAACTAGAAACAAAAGGCCGATAGAGGTAAAAGTCGCGAGAGTATAGAGAAGGTGATAAAAATCAAGTGCGCAGCCTTCTGAATGCCAATTGTGTGTCGATAAGATTATTCCAATATATGTATATAAGTGGTCGGAATCAATTAGTAATGTTCGACTTTGCATCGTTATTAAAGATTTGCAGGTGAATATATTATCATAAAACAAGGAAACCTACTGAATTTGTTTAATTTATAACAAAAAAAATAGCAATGACCTTAAATTACGAATAATTAATTTTTTTAATTTAATTATTAAATTAATTGAATTTATTATTAATAAATAATAATTTATTAAATTAACAATAATTTATTATTAATAAATAATAATTTATTAAATTAACAATAATTTATTAAATAAATAATATTTTAGTAAATTTTGTTGTTCTATAATAATTATTTTTCTCTAAAATGATATAATATAAGATCAATTTGGCTACTATGGAGAACATGTTTTCACCGTTACATCAAATGTAAGATTAATATCTGCAATTCATATACCTAATTGGTGAAATCATCAGGTGTAATGAATCGCTGAAAATTCTATTTTCTTTTTTTTTTTTCTTAATGATACTGATCTTAGAAAATTTATATTTACACTTGGCACAGATTTTCTGTGGTTATACTAGTGTCGTAGGTCGAATATTCAACTTTCACACGATTTTCTCTGTATTGATTTTTATCATAATCTTCCGATCATAAATCGATACATTGTGTAAATATTAATAAAAATATTTATGCAAATTAAATTTAAAAAAAAAAAAAAAAAAATACTCGATTACTTGACTATTATCAAATAAATATTTCAAATAATTATTAGTATTTGTTTCAAATACAGAAATTATTGTTTCAAATAAAAATTATTTATTTCAAGTAAATATTTATTTCATAATAGTCAAGTAATTATTTGAATGAAATAAATTTTTTTTATAAACTTAATAATTGAAAATTAATTAAATTTTTTATTTTGTTTTTTATTTTTCAAATTTGAAAAGGATTCCTTTACCTTTAGAAACAAAATTGTACATATGATGTGATCTAAATATAAAGTAATTAGTTTCTAACGTGTTTAATAAAACTTCCTGGGGAGGAAATGCATGTTATATATGAAAGCTCGTGACAGTTGCGTTAGTTCTGCGAACTTTGATTCGCCGCTTAATCTTTTGAAAAGTCAAAGCGACACGACTTAAAATCATATACACAGACATACTCTTTGCGATCGCGGTTTCATAATATGCGACGCATCTGTTTGTCGCTTCGGGTTTTATAATAATTACTCTTCTGTCATATATATAACATGTTGCGAATAATATCCAAGTTGTAAGATTTTTGTAGCGTGACATTGTTCATTGAGATATTGCCATATAGCGTGAACAGAATATTATTTGCAGAGATTTGCATAAGAGCTCAAAAAAAAAAAAATGTGTATGCAAATCTCAAACCAGTGTAATTACACTTTCATCGCTCTGTAAAATTACTTTTTTTTTCTACAATTATTTCATGATATCTTTATTTTCATATTTTAAAATTTCCCTTAAAAAAAAAATTTAGAATATATTTTTTTTTTGTTGCATAAACATATATGTGATTTTATACAGAAGGATGCATAATTGTGCAGTGAAGTCAATATAATGTTTATCACATTCCTTAATTAATCACAGTTTTGTATCGTTCATGTGCAGCTTTTTTTTTTTTATTAGATAATAAGATAATGAAACGAGCGCAAACTTTAATGCAAGCATTTATGTCAATTGATCCTATTGTATGTAAATATACATAAATGCGATGACAGCATCGGATCTTATCTCACATTTTCATTTCAATGAAAACACTTTCTTGTGATTATAAAAATTATAATCTTTCTTTTTATACAAATTGTATAAACAAAAATTAAATAATTAAAAATATTGCAGAGGAAAATAAATTATTTTTTTTTTATTATCTCACGAAATTGAAAAATTTTCGAATCACAAATTGACGAAAAATTTCTTTTCTCCAAGAGGTCGCCTTCTATTATCTTATTCTTAATGGAAATGTTGCCGTTGCCTTTTGTGATCCAACCCCTTTTTTTGCAAACTCTCCTCGAAAGTTGATCACTTTATTGCATCTGGTGCGCGGAGAGAACGAGCGCTTCTCTTTTCCTTGTCCAATTACAGTACATTTATCTTTCTTTGCGGTTTTGCGGTCATACATATATATAATATAGCAAAATTTTTAGAATTCAAAAAAAAAAAAAAGAGTAATAAAAAGAGAATAATTACCAACAGTAATTATTACATTTTTTAAGCTACTCAAAGAATTTACTCTTGCGCAGGTGTTCGATAAACGTAATCATTTATATTGCTTGGCTAATTATATCAAGAAACTTGTCCTTTTTTTACGCTATATTTTTGTTATATTTTAGAAAGTCATACTAGGAAATGAGAAATATAGAACTATATATATCCAAGTCAGCCATTTGGAAAATTTAGATTCTTATCATTGAATAATTTTTGTGCGAGTCATTTATATTATTGAACTATGATCGTGTTTCGGAAACTTTGCAAAATGATTAATTTACTGTTTCAAAGTTGTGAATAAAATAAATAAAATAAAAGTGATACAAAAGAATTAAAATTTATAACAGAAACTATCACTGTAAAAAGAAAGTACTAAAACAGTACCGAAAAGTACTAAAACAGTACCAAAATTTGGCTGGGCCAACTAAAAAATTTTGTTGGTATTTAAGCAACCAAACTATTTCAACCAAAAAATTTGGTTGAATGTTTTTTGTTGGCATAACAAAATGTTTGGTTAGCTCAACCAAATTTTGTTTGTTAGGTCAACAAAAATGTTTGGTTGGTCAAACAGTTTTTTTTTGTAAAATTAACAATTTTATTCTATCTTATTCCTTTTCTTTTTATCTTTTTTATTTATTTCATTATTTATTTATTATCAATTTAACATTGAATTTATATTTATCCAATTGAAATATTTGTGGACTTTGAAAAATCTCATCTCCGCCTGGGATCGAACCTCTGTTTTAAAACTGAAGGTCGGGAGCTCTGACCACTGGACTACCCATCCTTGTGAGAGATTTAAGCTAACTGTTCTCTTAAGCTATGAGCTGAGAGCAAATCAAATTATTTGGTTGTCGCAACCAAATTTTGGTTAGGACAACAAACAATCATTTGGTTTTTTAGACCAAACTATTTTGTTGTGTTAACCAAATTATTTTGTTGTGTTAACCAAATTATTTTGTTGTAATAACCAAATTTTGGTTGGAATTTAAAAATGTCCAACCAAATAATTTTGTTGGCCTATAACCAAATGTATTTGGTTGAGATAACTCTACGACTTTGTTTCAGCCAACCAAAATTTGGTTACAAGAACCAAAATTGCTTAATCAAACAATTTTGTTGCAAACACTAAATTTTTTTTCTCAGTGTGCTAAAACAGTACCGAAAAGTACTAAAACAGTACCAATTTTAGGTACCAAATGACAATTTCGAACCTGAAGTCGGTATTAAATTAACCTTGAATACCTTTCTTTTTACAGTGTTCATAAAAATTTTTAAAAAATAAAAAATGAAAATTTAAAAAACTTAAAACAAGATTAATTGTAAAACATTTCCTTTGCAAATTGAGTTTGTAATTCAATTCATATTTCATGTTCGAAGCAAGAATATTCTTGTTACAGTAAGTTCGCGAGATAAAGAGTGAAAAAAAAAAAACGATTGAAATTGAAATGGCATTATTAATGAAAGTTGACAGATATCGGCTTGAAGAGCTTGTTTACTCTTGAGGTTATCAAGGCGTTATTATAAAAACCATTTTTTTTTTTTTTTTAAATATTGTATCTTTCTTTAGTGAAGCGAAAATTGTAATCCAAAATGTTGTTTTGTCATGTTTTCAGGATATAAAAGCGATGTTTAAAAGATTATCAAAAGCAAGACGTCACAGTGCCGACGAGGTGGGATGTCCTCTGCCAAGTACTTTGACTTTAGATGAACCACCTGGATTCTTGACACCGAGAAAAAGTTCAGAAGGTCAACTTCAGGGCTTAAATCCCGCCTTATTATTAAGGCCATCAAGATCCAAATATGGAAGAAAAAGTTGTGGCGATGCCGTTTCGCCTTACACACTTCTCACTTCGGATGACAGTTCAGGATCAAATTCTAATACTGATACTGATTATCAAATGGTCACTGCCATGCCTGCATTTATTGTCGAACATGAGCCAGAAAAACAAAAAGGTACATTGTTTATATTATTATTATTTTTTTTTACTACTTTTATTATTTTTTAAATATATTTTTTAATTTTTAAGTAGTTAATAAGAAAAATTGAAAAAATTCGATGAATTAGAAAGTAAAAAATTTAGTAACAACGATTTGGGGTGGTATTTAATTTTAAAATAATGAAGTTTAATTTTGAATTGAGCGATGCACTAAAAAACAGGATGTGAAAGAAGGCTTATAATATCTGCTTTCAAAGAAGGTAATTAAGATTAAAGTGAATTTAACTTGGGGGTTCATTTTCAATTCATTAAAAAGAAACGTTGATTGTTAAAGAAAAGATTCCAATTCTATATATATTTTGCGTGCACACGCTTTAAGATTTAATTGAAAAATTAAAAAATTCTCTTTTATTTAAGATTTTTTGGTTCTTGATGTTTATCTTTTTTTAGCGAAATTAAATTTTTTATTCAGAAAACAAATTATATTTTATATAAATATTGTTATATTATAACAATAATATAACAACGATGATAATAATACTCTCTAAATCTGAATTAGTAAAAATGTTTACTAATTTAAATTAGTGACTCACTTTTTGCTTTAGAATTAGTTAAATTTTACTAATTGTTAGTAAAAGTTACTATAATAATTAGTAAAATTTTACTAATTGAGAAGCAAAAAGTGAGTCACTAATTCAAATTAGTAAACATTTTTACTAATTCAGATTTAGAGAGTAATAAATAATAATTTTACCTATGGGAAATTTGATTTTTATTCAAAAATAAAATTTTGTGGCTTAATTTTTTTTTTGTATATTTTATATATATATATATACAGAGGTATCAAAGATGAAGAAATTAGAAGTTGAGCATTCCTCATTTTTTAGAAATTAGTTACGCCTTTCAATATATGTTTCTTGAATTTTTTTTCCTTTTGAACCAAGGGATCCTTTCATCAAAATTTACTCTCCCCCGCCTCCCATCAAAATCAGATTAAACTTCATTTTTTATACTTGAAAATATTCAAGCCTCATTGATTTCAGCGATCATTGACCACCTGTATAGTTTCATTTAACGCAAAGTTTGCTTAAAATTGCATTTCAGAGTTTTATACTCTTCACTGATTTCGTAATAATCAATTTGTTCTGGGAAAATAATTTCGATCTGTTTTTTTTATACAGTTAAATCAGGGATTCTGTTTTGCCCTTTTAAAAAAAAAATCCATAGAAATTTTTTTTTATTACAAACCAAATATATAATTTATTTTACATTACTCTCTAAATCTGAATTAGTAAAAATGTTTACTAATTTGAATTAGTGACTCACTTATTGCTTTAGAATTAGTTAAATTTTACTAATTGTTAGTAAAAGTTACTTATAATTAGTAAAATTTTACTAATTGTTAGTAAAAGTTACTAATAATTAGTAAAAGTTACTAATAATTAGTAAAATTTTACTAATTTAGAAGCAAAAATTATTAATTATTAGTAACTTTTACTAACAATTAGTACAATGTAACTAATTCTAAAGCAAAAAGTGAGTCTCTAATTTCAATTAGTAAACATTTTTACTAATTCAGATTTAGAGAGTAAATAAAAATTAATATTTCGTAAATAAAGAAATGTTTTCTAATAAAAAAAAAAAAAAATCTTATGTTATATTCAACGATTTTTAATATCGTAGTTTTTTGTCTATGGAGAAAATATTTACGCGCGTTTGAAAATAGAAATTATAATATTTTTGCATATTATGAATTATCAGAGAAATTTTGTGTTATATATATATTAAATGAAAAGTTGCAGAACCTCTGGGTTTACTCGTAAAACTTTAAAATGTCTGTTTATTAATGGGGCGCGATATTTTCTTATCTAGGTACACATATCTACATATGCAGATTTAATTATATATATATATATATAGTGGTTACATAAATAATTAAATTGGAATACATTACCATAGGAAGGACTTCTTTAGTCAAATTAGAAATTTTCTCCCTTACATTCGTGTTTAGAATAAATATATTCAAATTATTTCCCGTTTATAATTTATAGAGCAAAACACTTCTGTTATATATTTAAATATTTTGGGATTAATGAAAAAAAGAACACAAAAATTTTTAATTTTAGATTAAAAATGAGCCAAAAGTTTTGAACGTTCATATGAGCGAATTTTTTTTTTTGCAACTTCTTTAACTACGAATTTTATTACAAAATATTGTTTAAAATATCTAAAAAGATGTTATTAATTTAATAATTGTTAAATTTACTGTATTATTTTACATGGTCATCATAATTTTTAATAATTTATAGATTGAAAAAAATATTTCGTTCATATGAACGTTCAAAACTTTCGGCTCATGATTAAAAATTTTTGTTCTCTTACTATTATTTAATATTGAAATATTTGCGATAATTGAAATGCATTCCAAGATAAGAATTATAATAATTGAAAAAAAAAATGAATTTACAATCTTCTTTTTCAATTTACAAAGACAATATTTACAACCTATATATATACTGAATGTGAAATTATTTATTTTCGCAAAACCACTCCCGTTAGGTAAATAAGATATTGAAAGAAAAAAAAGAAAAAAAAAAAAAAAAAGGAAGGGAAAGCATTTTGTGTGTAGGAAAGAATGCAGAACCTATATAGGCGTCGACATATATGTTATGGGTCAGATAAAGATGCAAGAGATTATGCAATTTATGAATTATGGCGAAACACTCTCTGTTTGTGTGTATGTGGAATGCTCAAGGTCCATTTGTTGAAATCCGGCTCCTTTGGTCTCATCGGACTTTTGGTCAAATCTCAGATCACCTGAGAGAGTTCTTAATTATAGGGGGGAACGAGATCCCACAAAAGGGTGAAATAGCCTCTCTCTCTCTCTTGGTCCTTTAAAATATACTTTGAAAGAGAAGCGAACTTTGATCATTGGGAGAATATTAGCATTAAATAGAGCCAGCACTTAATCCATAAATGTTTATTAGAAAAAAAAAAAAAGTATAGTAGTAGTAATTATAAAGAAAGATGAAACTCATTCTTGTGTCCATTATAGGGAATTTTTTTATTCTTGAAGATTGCGGCTCACCTGGTTTCTTAGAATTTTTTTTTTTAAGAGACCTTCACAAGGTTATATGTTACGCATATTAATTAAATTTTGATCATTCCTTTACCTAAAAATTTATTTCCTGCAAAATGATAATTTTATGATTTGGAAAATATTTTATGTTTGAAAATATTTTATAATTTAAAATCATTTTGTAATGTGGAAAATTATTATTTTGTTTCCTTATTGTTCTTTTTTTTTTTCTTCATTATTGAATTCTTGTTTGTAAATTGAATTTCATGTGGAAAAATTTAATTTAAATGAGTTTATTGTCATTTTGAGATAATTGTTCTTTTTTTTGGGGAGAGCAAAAAGAATACATCTTAATTAACATAATTCTGTTTATGTAATTTTCTATAAATGATGGGGAAATAATGCATTGTAATTATATAGTCACGTGAAAAAATCATTAAATGTGATAAACGCCTTTATGTAACGGTTTCTATGAAAATATTCCCCTTAATTAAAGATAGATTACTAATTTCTATACTAATTATTACGAATACATGAAATTTTTATAGTTCTTATAAATCATCTATTAAAAACAGTTGTCTTCTTTTTCTATTTTTTTTAATTCAAATAATTTTTAAATTTTTAATTATTTTAATTAATTTTATTATTTACCTATTTTTTCCTACTTAAAAAATCTTTACTGTACGATGGTGAGAATCGTGATGTTTTTTTATTTCTGTCTACAAGAAAATATCGTCACGTTAGCGAGTCTAACAATCTCTTGAAATGCTCTGTTGCTTCCGGATCTACCGAAGTAAATCGTCATTTTTGTTGACAATACCTTGTCTTTCAAAAAAAATTTTCACATATATTTCAAAAAAAATTTTGTAATTTTTCCCAATTATTATATTCTCTTTTTTTTATTGTTTTACTGAGTAGAATTTTTATAGCTTCATAACAAATAGGAACCTTGTCATTAAAGTGAAAGTATTTACTCCAAACAAAATTTATAAAAATTGAGACTAGAAATTAGTATAAATAATTGATAATTAATTTCTAAATTGTACTTAAATAATCATTTAAATCAATAAAATTTCTACATCGTAGATAATTTTCCCTAACAGAAAAAAAAGTCAAACATTTTTTTCTAATTCAGAAATACATTTTTCTTTTGTATTTTAAATTTTCAATATTTTCTAAAAATTTATTTTTTTAATTGAAAAAATTTTAATTTCAGGAAGTTTAGTTTAAAAAAAAATAAATAAACCAATATATTGTTTCCTGGAAAGTAAAGTTTATAACTGTAATGGAGAAATCTAGTTTTAATCATGATAAAATTGCTAATAATTGCCCTAACTGATTTACCTTGTAAGCATCCTCGACGCAATATTGCGCATATATATATATGTACATTTTTGCGACGAAAGTAGTGGTGAAACTTTATAATATACTAATCCTTCATAATAACGCAACTCATTATATTCTTTTCCGTAATTTACCTCATCGACACGATACAAAACCCACTTATGAAAATCATGATGCGCTTGTTTATTTCTTTTCAATGGTTGACAATGCTTTGTCATTTTTTTTTTTTTTTTACGTTCAGTCAAATTTCTGGTAAACTCATCTTAAATATTACTCAACAGACTTCTTGTTTTCAAACCCACAATCCATGTCATTTTAATTTCTTTCATTTTATTCATAATTTACTCACTATTTATTAATTTTGATTATTTATTATTATTGTTATTATTATTATTATTATTATTATTATTACTATTATTATTATTATTATTATTATTATATTATTATTACTATTATTGTTATTATTATTATTTATTTATTTTCGTTCTTTTTTATTTTAATTTTTTTTTAATTTATTGAGTAAACGGGTATAAATTTTTATTGTTGTACTATATTTATGATAGTAATGTAATTTTTTTTTTTTTTTCTTAAAAATCAATTACATTTGAAACCGTTTTTCCTGCATATCAGTTTATGTCTACTTACGTTTGCAACTATGTCAGTTTCTGCAAGCAAAATAAGTACAGACATGAACTAATAAAAAAAAGTAATAAGTAGAGCAAAATAAGGCTTCTTAAAGACATGCGACTAATTTACATATTTCAGTGATTTTCTATATCTTTTCATCTTTTTATATTGTATATATATATATATAAGATTTGTCACGATCATCTCGGTTAACCGCGCGATTTATTTTTGTGTTCTACATTTTTAAAATTGTTTTATATTTTTTTGTTTTTGGTAAAATTTCTCTTTTCTTATATATGGGTAAATCCACAGAACCGGCCGATTTCATGTTACTCACATATTTTTCTATTTTAGAAGTATTATATTAATTATTTTCATACTTCAACCATTTTGTAATATCTCTGAGAACCTATTGAAATAAGAAAATTGAATAAATGTGAACCTTCTAGTCTTTTATAAAAAATAAAATCGAATTAAGTAACTTAAAAAATGAAATTTACGGTGTTACTCCAGGTATAAATTTTAATTCTTATAGGTATAACTTGTTCGGCATAGATCCGAACAATTCCAAACTGTGGTGAATTATAGTTTACTTATTGAAGAATGTTTTGAAAGTAATAAAAAATATGTGCTCTTAAATAAAAAGAAATGATAGTCGTTGAAAGTAGCATTACTCATTATTTTATAATAATGAAATGTCTATACATTTTTGTAAATATCTTTTGCGGCGATTATTCGATTTGAATTTTTCAAATTGGAGCTTATTGCTTGTGAACAGACGAACAAATGTATGTATCATAGAATAGAGTGCAATCAGAATTAAAGAAAATATTCCAATAATTATCACTCTATGTTTAAGCGTGAACCATTTTCAACTTAGCCTTTTTTCAGTAGCACAACTACAGGATAAAATATGATGAGTTGAAAACATGTGTGATTATATAAAGACATTATTATAATTCTTGTATGCAAACGCCAAATTATATTTTCAATTTATAACGTCTAAAAATTAAAAATAAAAAAAAATTTATCGAAATTTAACTAGTTAATCGTGAAAAATGAATTATCCTTTCATTTGTTTTATTTTCAAAGTTATATCAAAATCGATGTCAATAATGTCAGTTTGTTGGTTAAAATAGTTAATATCAAAATTAGTAAGTAAACAATTTAATTTACAGAAATAAAAAATTAAATGTTAATAAATAAAATATATAATAAAATATGATAAAATATAAATAATTTATTTTTGATAATTAAAAAATTAATTATTTGTATTTTATCATATTTTATTATTCAAAATGTTTTGCACATATTTCAAATAATATATAAAAAAACAAAGAAATGCCATTTTTAATTATAATTTCCAGAAGAAAAATAATATTTTCGTTTTTGGCTTTTAACTCAAACGGCATTAAAATAAAATGAATCACGCAAGAAGATAATTGTTCTTGAATATATTTTAAAGAAAGTAAACCATAAATAAAAGGTGTGCTTGCTATTTGGAAAATTTTCATCTTGATAAGTAAAAATCGGCCAGTTCTGTGGATTTGCCCATATATATATATATATTAAATAATTGGGTCCCTTAAATAATAATAAGAAGAAACAAAAAAAAGAGTTTAATCAAAAGTCGTGATCCTTATGACTTAGTATTTGCCGTTGTATCGTGCGCGATTGATTTATATGGAAATTTATACAACAAATGTTAAGCGATATAACGGATTCTTGACAATAACGTCGTTAACTTGGAATGCTTTTCTCCATTGCTTCCATAAATGATCTATGGCTGTTGCAAATATATATATATACTGGATTTTTCTTAACATAAAACATTTCATGATCATCGTTATATATATATATATATTGTATAGTCATTTCTATATAAAGACTCAAAAGTATAAAAATTTCCAATATTAATTTTTTTTGCATTAATTAATAATTTTTTTAAATATTAGTAAAATAAAATCAAGTAAAAAAAAATTTTTTATTAGAAATACAATAGGTTTTAAATAGCTGCAGTAAATAATAAATAATAATAATAAATAATAATAATAATAATGATAATAATAATAATAATAATAATAATAATAATAAAATTCAGCAGTAAATATATATTTTTTAAATAAATATTTTGCGAAAAATTATATTAATTTATTTCAGGATTTGGTTGCAAAAAAAAAAATGAATTTCATTATCTAGTGATAATAAACACACTTTATTAACATATGTTCCGTGTTTGATTTTCACTACTTTCTCTAAGTCATGATCGTAATAGAATTTCACGGTTTCACGCTTATGCTCCGGAAATGATTTAATTCACTAAAAGAATTTTTTGCACTTTATTATTATCATATACAACTATATATATATATATATATAGTTGTACATGTAATATGTGTGTTTATGTCTCAAATGCGGAACAAGTGTTTGTCCTACTATATAAATAAAATTGATCAGACTAATAAGTAGAAATAATTGGCCTCTATGTAGAATCATAAAATATATTGATCATATAATAAAATGTTCCTTATTAGACGCGGAACTGATTTTAACAATTGACGTTTTCATTGCTTTATATATGCTTCTAAATATTTTTAGAAAAAAAAGTACAACAAAAAAAAACAAAAAATTACTAATTAATGAAATAATTTTAATAATATAATTATTTTTAATTTTTTTCATCGAACAGAAAGTGTAACACAGAAAATTAAAAGGCATTAAAATAAGCTGAAACGCTTCTTATTTTAATCTAATTTTGCTTATTTTAATCCAAATTAATGTTTATTTATAGCATTATTTTCTTTAAAGAAGCTAAATATTTAATTGTTTTTTTGCTTCTAAATATTTTTATAAAAAAAGTACAAAAAAAAAAATGACTAATTAATGAAATAATTTTAATAATATAATTATTTTTAATTTTTTTTCATCGAACAGAAAGTGTAACACAGAAAATTAAAAGGCATTAAAATAAGCTGCAACGCTTCTTATTTTAATCCAATTTTACTTATTTTAATACCAAAATGGATTAAAATAAGCAAAATTGGATTAAAATAAGAAGCGTTGCAGCTTATTTTAATCCAAATTAATGTTTATTTATAGAATTATTTTATTTAAAGAAGCTAAATATTTAATCGTTTTTTTTGCTTCTAAATATTTTTATAAAAAAAGTACAAAAAAAAAAAATGACTAATTAATGAATAATTTTAATAATATAATTATTTTAAATTTTTTTCATCGAACAGAAAGTGTAATTAAATAGTAAAAAAAAAAATGTTTTTAAATTGATGGTATTAAATTCCTGAAACGTGACAGCAATTAAAACTGTTGTCCTTCGGTTTAAAATTGATTCCATTTAGTAATGAAAAGAAGTTGAACAAAATTGGTGAAAGGGGGAGAACGGCTTTATCGCAAAACACATGTATGACAATTGTGTGACCATTAGCCAAGATATGTCCGTTACCCACCTGGACTCACCTTGGAAAAAAAAAAAAAAAAAGTTCCTGAAGACAGGGAGGAGTCATGGTGCCTTATGGTTTTTCCTATATAAACCAAACTCCGAATTCTCGGACCCCCTTTTTTAGCGCGACTAGTTTTTTGTCTCATTGTCCCGCTTTTAATACAAGCAAACTCATTCTCGCAATATAATACCGTTTTCTTCTTTTACAGGCTTAGGCGTTTGGGGATTGAGAAGAATGGGCAAGAAAATAGAATCATTTCGCAAAGCGGGATCCCGAGAGACGATCAATTCAATTACACCAGAAAGGACAGAGCCATCTTTGAACAATAATAATAATAATAATATTAGTGAAAAATTGGAAAGACTTGCCGAGCAAAAAGAAAGGAGGATATTCGCTCAAAGATCACCATCACCTTTTAAATCATTCTTCATTAGGATGGGCTCAACTGGAATGTTGAACTCAAATCGTGGTAGTAAACGTTCACCATCAAGCAATGAGAAAACATCAGAAAAGGAGAATCTCTTTAGAAGTTGTAGTACCAGTCAATTAAACACCAGTCCCACTTATGTGAAAGGTGATGATCCATCCGAGGGAATTGATCTTCAAATTCAAAATCGTAAGGACAAAACTTTATCATGCGATAATTTGAGTGGAAGATCGGATGATGATGTATTTGATGATAGATTGAATATTCCACCTTCGCCTTCATTGTCAATTCCATCGAGAATTTTCACTTCATGTGATTTTGGCGAGACAAAAAATGATGGTTTGAGAAAATCGAGTAGTTGTGATTTTAAAGAAGTGAAAAAAACAACGTTTCCCTATTCATTTCTGAGATCAAAACTCTCTGTTCTTCCTGAGGAACGCTATGGATCGAATTTGAAAGATGAGAGACTTTTTAAAACAACATCGGAGGAACATTTTCCAGCGTTGCAAATTGAAGAATCATTTGAGGGTACAACAACATTGGGCAGAAGACGTCCGAGAAATGGACATTTCAATAGAAATGCACCATCAAGAACGCAGGATGTTTCACGAATGGGACGTAATTCATACGCTGAATTTCGTACCGAGAGAATTGAACAAGATAGATATAGTCTAAATCCTAGTCATTTGGAGAGGATTGACGATGATTTACAAATGGAAGAGAATTATGAGAATCAATCACGATTTTCGATTAATGACTCGAGGTTCGATACAACATCATTGAATCATGAAATTATGAATCCGGATGTGAATCTCGAAATAACAACACCAACATTGAGGAATCATAGAAGAAATTCAGCGCCAAGTGGAGAACAAAGATTGTCATCGCATTATGTGAGTTCGAATGAATCAGGTTACGATAGCGATGGTCCAAGAGGTGAATCGGCGGCAGCATCGGAAAATGAGGCGCAAAGTTTAAAATGTAATACAGATAGTTCGGATACAAGTAGTGTTGTCGATTCGGAAATAGAGAAACCAATAATGAGAAGAAGTTCAAGTGAATGTCAGGAGAATCAGGAGATTGAACAATGTTCAAGGTCGAGTAAAAACGAAGAGAATGTTGAGACTGAGGAGAGAATAGCTGATGGTCTCAGATGGCATCAGAGTAATTCGGGAAGAATGTTGCCAAGCATACATCAAACCTCGACATTGCCAGTAGCAGCAAACTCATCCTCACTGATTGGTGATGGTTTAGGAGTTGGTCAGAGTCAAAATACCGTTGTTGTTGCTGCTGCTGCTGCTGCGAGTATGCCCCATCGAGCCAGACTTCAACAGGACAAGACAAGATTTCTCAGTGACATCATCGAACCACCGAAAAAAGTTCGCAGATGCCGACTTGTACAGCTCATCAAAAATGATCCCAAGGAGAGTTTGGGCATCAGACTCGCTCAACAAAGAATTGGCGAGATTCGTTATATTGTTGTTCAATTGGAAACCGATGGCATTGCTCATAGGTGAGCTTTTTTTTTATTTTTAAAGAAATTAATTCTGTTTCAAAATTATATGATAATAAAATGCTTGGTCTGTCCTTCTGTCCTAACTTGAAGTTGGCCATTTCTTATTTCACGTGTTTTTTTTGAATAGTAATCTTATGACGTGTCAAATTTTGACAATTCTTTTTCTCATTTTTGCCAAAGTTGTATAATTGTGTTTCCAAATTTCGGAATAAGTTTCTTTACAATTCCAAATTCGAAAATTCAATTCATGAAGTACACAACGCTTACCAACGAAATTTTTTTTAAAATTGTATATTGATTCAAAAATTGTATACAAATACAAAAAATTTATGATGAAAAAAAAGATGAGCCAGGAAATTTCGTACAAGATGGTAATTTGAAAAAAATTTATTTTTAAAAATTAATTTTTAAGGTACCAGGGACCAACGAATACCTATTAAATATTAATTATAAAAACACAGGCCTCGAATCAACTTAAAAACACAAAAAAGTCGTTTTAGTCGATTTATATTAAAAAAAAAAGTGGATTTGTTTTTTTATTTTAACAAAAATATTTTACAGATTTTTAAATTAAAAAAATTTTTTTTAATAATAATCCTTTTCGAGGGGTTAAAGTTAAAATTTTTAGAAATAATTAAATTTCAAAAGATATTGTTAATTTTCAAACAATTATTAAATTTTACAGAACTAAAAATAATTTATCAAACAATTTTTGGAAAACATTTTTTAAATTTAATTGAATTTTTAAAGATTTAAAATTGAGATTTTTGAAATTAATTGAAACTTTAAGTGTTTTGTAATTAAAATTTTAGATGATTTCACTAAAAATTTATTAGAAAATGCGGACAAAATACAATAATTTGAAAATCATTTTTAATTGAAAAATGGTTTCAGATAGTTGAATTTTCAAAGAATATTATTAAAATAGTTAAAAATAATTGAATTTCCTTAGAGTTATAATTGAAATTATTAAATTTCAAAAAAAAAATTTTCGATGGACAATTTTAGAAATAATTAAATTTTAGATGCTTTTAAATTCAAATTATTGAAAATTCAATTAATTTTGAATTCAAATTTTTGAGAATAATGAAATTTTATTTGATTTTAAATTTGGAAAATAATTGAATTTCACTTCATTTTGAATTGAAATTTTTAAAAAATAATTCAATTTTATTGTGATATTTTTTTTTAAATTATAAACAATTGTTAAATTTCATAAAAATTTTAATTGAAAAATAATTTTGATATAATTGAATTTGTGATGTATTTCATTAAAATTATAAAAAATAATTAATTTAGTGAAGAATCATTTTAGTTCAAAATTTGTCAAATAATTGAATTGATGAAGATCTGAAGAAGATCTACATTTTATACTAAAAAAAATGTATTTTATTTAAATTTTTTTTCAAATGTAAAAAAAAAATGTCGCATTTTATTAAAATAAGTCGATAAAAGTCGTATTTTTGAAAAAAAGTCGTATAATCCGAGGCCTGTAAACATATAATTTTCATTATTATCATTTAATATGTAATAATATTCTAATAAATTAAATTATTATTAATAATATTAATCTTTAATTTCTTTATAACAAACAATTAAATACTCAATTTGGCGCGCTTGCGCACATTTAATTTTGCTAGTTTCTAAATAAAATAATAATTTTCGATGGATATGATATTATTATATAAAAATCATTAATTAAAATTTTTGATTTTATAAAGAATTTTATTAATTTTTATTTTTCAAATCAACATTTGTCGGAATTTTTTTTATTAAAGAATTTTTAATTAACAGAATTTTTAGTATTATTTTATTTGTCCAAAATTCCAAATGGCCGAAAACAAAGGTTTCGGCGCGATTTTTAAAATCCACCAATCACGATTTTTTTTTTTTTTTGACAACTTTTAATTGGTGAATTTTAATCGCGCTGAAGTCGATTGTTTATTCGGTCATTTGAAATTTCGGATAAATAAAAATTCGGCGTTTTAAAAATTCTATTGTCTTAAAAATTCTGTTAATTAAAAATTTGTTTAAAAAGAAATTCTGTCAAATATTAATTGGAAAAATAATAATTCATCTAGAAAATTATTAAAATTCTTTAAAATCAAAATTTCAACTATTGATTTTTATGAAATAATCATGCGCCCCTAATTTTCGATTATTATCATAAAAAATCTATTTTTCCAAAATAGGCCTCAAATTATTTTCAATTGTGAAGATTAGATTAAAATTAAAAACAATTAAAAATACCGAAGAGAAGAAACAATAAATCTGATTGAAAGCTATAAATCATAGTTTAATTTAACGATTACATATATGATTTCATAAGTTTTGCCATTTTCTAGGACATATGCATTGAAGCATTAATATTTTTTTTTTTTTTTTTGCAATTTTCTTTGAACAAAAGACTTTGCAAATTACACATTAAACCTACTCAGAAAGCAAATTTATTTTCTCTCGACGATTTTTTATTTGCAATTTTGAAAAAAATATTTTTATTCTTTTTTTTTGCAGAGACGGAAGATTGAGATTGGGCGATGAAATTGTTGAGGTCGAAGGTAAGGAACTCCGAACGCTCGAGAGTCTTGAGCAAGTTCAAGAGTATTTGAAATCCTTTAATGGAAATAAAGTGCGACTAATAACTGCCTATGAGGAAACAGTGCCTCAGGTTTATAATAATAATTCAATTTTATCAGATGATTATGAATATTTGAAAAATGTGAAAAATCTCAAAAATATGACATTGGTTGATAATCATAAAAATGAAAAAAGGGTTGATTCATCGAATAGTAGTAGTAATAATAATAATAATAATTCAACTACTACATCCACCTGCGATGATGAAAATAATCATACCAAAAAGAGACCGGACTTCCTGCCAGTCACGTGTATTACCACTACTACCAGGAAGGATGTAGACGCCTCCTTAGAATCCTCGACGGAAATACATCAATACTTGACGAGGCATATTGCCAGGTTTGAGAAAGGATATGGTAAGCCAAGTCTAGGATTCAGTGTTGTTGGTGGCAGAGACAGCCCACGTGGGGAAATGGGCATTTTTGTTAGACGAATTTTCCCTGGAGGCCAAGCTGACGTTTCCAAATCTCTCTTCCAAGGTACACTCTTTTTCAAAATAAGAGTTATTGAATTTCAATTTTCCTTTTTTATTTCGATAATTTTAAATTCAAAAAAAATTTCAAAATTTAAATCATAAACATCTTTTTTTTTTAAAGAAGGTAAAAAAAAATTTAATAGCATTTTCAAACATAAAAACCAATCGTTTCGGGACAAGATATATAATACAGTTGATGTTTCTTTGATGGCACGTATGTACTATTCGCATATATATATATATATATGTATATACATATGCACAACGAGAATACCATTCGAACACACTTCGAATCTTTAATCCAACACCTTATGTCGTGCATTTCTAAACAGATATGATACGAGTTTCTGTTGATGCTCTTTGGCTTTTCGTTTTCTTTTTGCGCGAATCGTTTTTTTTTTTTTCTTATCTCATTCCTTATTCCTCTGTTCTTTATTTTTGAATCACGAAATTGTTATGCATACCACAGGTAAAAATTTTCTTCTTTTCTTCTTTGGATTCGTTTGATTTTGTGATTTTAAATAAAAATAAATTTAAAAGAAAAAAATATTAACAAAGTTAACTTTACAAAAAAGAAAAAATTTTTATGAGATCAGGTATTTTTTGGATACATTGGCTTCATTTCGGTCACGTATTTTCCACTAATTTGTATTAAATTCCAATTTTTCAACTTGAAACGATTGTCATGTTGGTGTTGAATTTCAACTGATCCGCGTTTTTTTTTTTTTACACACACACTGTGGTTTCCCTGTTGTATGCTTGAGTAACGGTCCCGCGGTTGGTATGGTTGCATAAATACAGGCTCCTTTCACCAAATAAAATATTTTATTATTTTTGTTTTATTTATGCCGATTAATATTATTTTTTCTCGGTTTTGTTTTTTTAAATTTTATTTTTTTATTTACATTATTTAGTTTCTCTTATTAAAAATTAATATCATTTATAATAATAATAATAATAATAATAATAATAATAATAATATTAATATATTTAATTGAACTAAATAAATTTTTCATAATTTAAAAAATGATAAAACATTTTATTAGATTTTTCAATTTATCTGAGACCGCAATATTTGTCATTTATAAGAGTTGAATTCGATAAATTATAATCTTAATTAAATTATACATGTTTTTAGTTATCTTTCAATAACCCGTTTTTACAGTATAAAATATTATTTTTTATAATAAAAAGAGATCAAAAAGCAATTTAATGATTCACTGCTTCCTTCCATTAAATTTAGTAAATGATTTCAAAACTCTTTGAATTTTATTTATCTACTTTCGTTGGTATGCATATTAAATAAATTTGCTATCGCATTTTATGAGACAATTTTTAAATTAAAATCATTTATACAAGGAATCTGGATGTTTATGAAAATGTCACTCGAATTATAACTTAGGGGAACATTTCTCATATAGATATAAAATATATATATTAGAAGATATTTATGTAAAGAATTCCAACTAATTTATCAATATTATAAACTCATGGATTCTGTATATAGAATTGATTTTATATGCAAGAATCATGATCGATTGATTCACTTGGATTTTAAGACACATGGTTAATGACTATAAACGTTCTTTTAACCATATAGCTTCATTGACGTAATATATAAAAGATTTCTCTTTTTCGAGTTTTAATATCATACACCTCAAAAATTTAAATTTTACATCATTACGTTATATTATGTCATCGAAGCAATATGTCAGAATTAGAGAGATTAATCTTTCAATATATGAAAATTATTTTTTTCATTATAAGAATTTCAAGGGCACAATAATTTTGAATATACGTGTCTAATGTGATAGGAATTTATGGTTTTTGAATCAATTTCTTCTTCTATTTTTTATTTGATAATTTTTTTGTTAATTCAAAGAAGAAATTTTTTCTAATTTCTAATTAATAAGTTTATTAATCTGATTTTACAAGGTTGGAAATTGTTACATTTACTTTGTAAAATATAAAAAATTATTGTAATAGAAAAAAAAGGTGCGTGTAAAAGAGAAGAAATGGTGAAAAGAATAAATGAATATTTTACTGATTTAGAAAAAAAAATAATCGCGCATAACTAATAAATACTAAAAAGTTGGAAAGGCGTTACTGAATCGAGAATCACGAACGAGAATGCCTATTGCCTTTTAAGTAGAAGAAAATAATGTTTGTGGGTTAAATAGCCTTCGATATAGTCTTTTGAGTCTTTTAACAACGGGTCAAAGAAGTGAAATTCATGTTGCATGAAAGTACACAAACTGTCAATATCGATTGTATATCTAATTTATTAAGACAAGAATAATTTTAAAGAATATTTTTTTTAATGCCACCAAAAAACAAATAAAATACAAAATAAATTAAAATTATAAATTAAAAAATTAAATTAAAAAAACAAAAAAAATACAAAATAAATTAAAATTAAATTAAAAAATTAAATTAAAAAAACAAATAAGATACAAAATAAATTAAAATTAAATTACAAATTTTACTTTTTATTTAATTATAAAATTAGTTTTTAATTTATAAGTATTTAATATTGATTTTTGTTTTTTTTTATTATTTCAGGGGATGAAATTTTGAGTCTTAATGGAAAAATATTACGAGGATGCACACATCAAGAAGTTATAGAATTATTTAAAGCAGTTCGAGAAGGACCAGTCGAATTAGATGTTGCAAGAAGACATAGGTAAAAAATTGTTTATTAATTAATTTCTCCATTTGGAATTATTTTTTAATTCAATTTTTTTTTTAATTTCAGGTACCAGAAACCGGCTCTAAAATCCGCTCCCTATTAAATTTCCAGAAATCATTATTATTATTATTCACCACCAAAAGTGCTCTTTTGTTAAAACTAGAGTTTTATCAAATTTCATCACAAATGTTATGGAAAAAAAAAAAAAAAAAAAAAAAAAACTTTTAGAATCTAGTCTCTCGTGAAAAGATCAATTTATTAGATCTCGACATTCGTTATGTTTAATTTATTTTCCATGTAATTCACAATGAATTGTCTATAGATGCAATAAGTGACATTGTTTATCGATTACTATTATTATTATTATTATTATTAATTATTAGATATATATGTATCATTAAGAATTTTATACGAAGAATTTTATTGTTCAGAAAAAATTTATTAGTGAAAAAACCTTATTTTAGATTTAAAAACAAAAAAAAATGATCAGTTTTATCAAATTCTCGTTTCAAGGAAATGATAATAAAAACTGGGATTTACGAAAACATTAAATAATTTCTTTTATTTTCACAAAAGTATGTTACAAAATTTACAAAAAAAAAAATAAAATATATTTACATTATTGTTATATCTTCGTACAACATAAAATGAAATAAGGTTCGTCACTTTTGTTAATTTTTTTTTTTATTATACTCCGTTGGATTGATTTAATCAGGTATCAACGAGTAAAAGATCTGCACAGGATTTTGCTTTCGAACCTCTAAAACAGAGAAAAAAAAAATTAATTAAATTGTACATAATAAGCAAATATATTTCGTGAAAGCAAAAAAAAAATGTAAAATTTATAAATTAATTCTTATGTTTGTATATTTAAAGAAAGTATAAAAAAAATAATAAAACTTACAAATTTGTTTCCTATGTAAAATTTTTATTTATAAAATATTATTCAGAAAATTTAAATTATTTTTGTTATTATTATTATTATTATTATTATTATTATAGTTGTTATGTTACTATTATTGAATTATATGAAATATTGAAATTTAAATGTAAAGAAAAGGAGAAATTTGAACTAACTGCAAATCACGTTGCTTGGATCTTCTGCACAAGTGAAGAGCCACTGGACCGCTTTTATTATTGCGAAAAAGCTGAACAGCTTCACGATGAGTCAAGTCATGACAAACCTGGCCATTGACCGCCAAAATTTCATCCCCAGCTTTCAATCGGCCATCCTCGGCTGCCTGACCTCCAGGTAGAACCGATTTTATGAAGATGCCTATAAAAAAGAAGGTTGGAATATCTTTAAAAAAAAAAATCAAGAACAAATCTCGATGACAAAGAAGTTTATTTTTTTCTTTCTCTATATATATATTCAACTCTCGACGAACAACGGTGTCAAATAAATTGTGGTTTTGCTTGTTCTACATCTATAAACGTATTACTTGGAACCACAAGAATATTCCGGGTTACAATATATAATATACTGTTTAAACTGGTTTCATTCTTGTATCAAACATTCCTTTCACTTCTATAAATTACTGTAATTATCATCATCATCATCATAGTAAATAATTTTATTGTTTTTTAAAAGAAATTTCTTTTTAGAAATTAAAAATTAATTATTTTTAAAGAATCGTGTTTTAGTTTCTTTTTTTCAATTTTGAATATGTGTTTTTTCTATGTTTTTGATGTGAATAAAATCGAAGATAGAGTGAAAATTTTTTTCTTAGATAAAAATAACACAGGCCAACACTGATTTTGGTGCGGCAAATGTCAGACCTGTTATTTTGATATGTTTTTTCATGCTGAACATAAATCCGTAAATGAAAAGTTCCTATCAGCTCTAGTTTTTGAGAAAAACGGGTTTTGAAATGTTCAAAAATCGAATTTTGGCTAACTTTGAGTACCTCTAGCATTGAAATAAAAGGTCGTAGAACCTTCCACTTGGGCTTAAATTGAGGCTTAATGTTTCAACTATTATCCCCAAAAATGACCTATGTTGCACCATAATCTTAAAGTCATTTGTTATCATTTTTGATTCGCACAAAGAAAATTAAAAGGCATTAAAATAAGCTGCAACACTTCTTATTTTAATCCAATTTTGCTTATTTTAATACCAAAATAGATTAAAATAAGCAAAATTGGATAAAAATAAGAAGCGTTGCAGCTTATTTTAATGCCTTTTAATTTTCCGTGCAAATATTAATTTTGTAAAAATTTGAGCGCGTACCTCTAGCAACGAAAAAAGGATCATAGAACCTTTTATTTGAACTTAAAATAAAGTTTGAATTTTAGACTACAAGCCCTCAAAATTATATTATTCACTAATATAACCTCAAAATTGTTGGTAACTAGTATTTACCTACAGAACTTATTTGGTAATATTTTTAATAACTCTAGTCAATAAAATCAAAGGTGAGTGAACCTTCTTGTTGAGCTTCAATTCAATTTATCCCTTGATTGTAGGTTCATAAAAATTACATTGCTGCACCTTAACCTCAAGGACTAGATGTACGCGCTCAAACTTTTACAAAATTAATATTTGGGAATCAAAAATGGATAACAAATGACTTTGAGGTTATGGTGCATAAGATAGGTCATTTTTGGTGATAATAGTTAAAACATTAAGCTTCAAATTAAGCCCAAGTGGAAGGTTCCACGATTTTTTGTTTTAGTCTTAGAGATACTAAAAGTTAGCCAAAAACGCGATTTTTAAACCCGTTTTTCTCAAAAACTAGAGCTGATAGGAAATTTTTGTTTACGGATTCGTGTTCGGCATGAAAAAACCTATGAGAAATAGGTCTGAAATTTGTTGGCCTGTGTAATTAATGAATGCGATTTAAGGCCAGGTCCAAGTGAGGCAGCGCCCTTTACATTGATACTAAAATTTTGGAAAATTTTCAACAGCCTTTTCTTGAAAACAAGAAGGTAAAATGCTTTTTCCTTTATGGATAATTAATTATTGGCAAGATATACACTTTTTTTGAGTTAAAATAATGAAAAAAATTTCATGTCAATAAATTAAATATGAGCACCTTTTCTCACAAAAAAGCTGTAACAGTACTTTCTCAGAAATTACAATCAAAAATGCAATTTCCATTTGGAAAATTAATAAACGCTAAAAAATACACCACCTAAGATTTACCAATCACGAAAATAACAAAAAAAAATGTTTTTTAACATAACATATTTTACTCATTATGACAGCCGTTTGACAGATTATATATGTCACCAGACGTTTCGCGGTTTTGCCGAAAGGAGGAGATTGGCGCTGTTGCTAACCATCTGAAATACATAATCCACCAAAGTATCAGTATCAATATGTTAAATATTTAATAAAATTTTTTTTGTTATTTTCGTGATTGGTAAATCTTAGGTGGTGTATTTTTTAGCGTTTATTAATTTTCCAAATGGAAATTGCATTTTTGATTGTGATTTCGGAGAAAGTAGTGTTACAGTTTTTGTGAGAAAAAGTGCTCATATTTAATTTATCGACATGAAATTTTTTTTCATTATTTTAACTCAAAAAAAGTTTTAGCTGGTGTATATCTTGCCAATAATCAATTATCCATAAAGGAAAAAGCATTTTACCTTCTTGTTTTCAAGAAAAGGCTGTTGAAAATTTTCCAAATTTTAGTATCAATGTAGATGGCGCTGCCTCATTTGGACCTGGCCTTAAAAAAAAAAGAGATTTGTAAAAATTAGACCTACCGATGCTTCCTTTGGGACTGTCTCGTCCACCAACGATTGTAAATCCAAGGGATTTTTTCCCCTGTCCCTTTTCAAAAACAACAGTCAAAAATTTAGACAATGTACTTCTTGGTCTTCTTGGTAGAGTGCAAAAATTTGAAATACTCTGAGCACCACTGTCCAATGTTGTTGTTGTTGTTGTTGTAGTGGTACATGATTTCTCTGAAGATATCGACCTGTTGGACTCGTTCTTCCTGTCTCGATTATGTCGCGAGTTGTGTTTCCTAAAATGACACTTGGGTGAAGAATTTTCCACAATTACACCATGACCATTTTCAATGCTCACATTCTCATAATCAACGCTGCTCTCCTTTAATTTTTTTGGTTGTTGTTGTTGTTGTTCTAGATTTTGATATCGTGATATAATAATATCAACAATTCCAGGTGCATTACCGCTACCTAAAATTTTTCTTGCCTCTGACATTGTTAAACCTCTCAGTCTTTTGCCATTGACAATTAAAATTTCATCGCCAATTTTTAATGTTCCTTCCTTATCGGCTAGACCATTTGGAACAACGTGTGCAACTAAATAACCAGGATTTGAATCCGATGTTTTGGCAATAAAAATTCCCAAACACTGATCAGATGTTTCTCTTGGTAATTTAACAACAATTGTTTCTGTATTACAGGTACTACTTCGAATAACTGGTAATTCTTTTTTGAAATTTATTTTCTTTTCTTGTAAAATTTTGTCTTTATTTTCCTTTGAAATTATATTTAAGGGATCTTTTTCAATTCCTAGACATACATTGTGAGCGAATGGTTTTATTTTTTTACCATCAGTCTTGACAATTATAGGATTGGCTTCTAATATGGAAGCATGTTGGCACAATCGAAGATTCTTTTCTAGGTCAGTGATGGGTGCTGATGGTCTTCTAGGTGGGAGTCGTGGTGGTGGTGGTGGCGATGATGATGATGAGGATTCATTGAGCAAACTTGTTAATAATTCTGAAGCACCACTACTGCATCTATCGTCTAATAGTGAACTGGTTGCTGAATCATTATCGAGAATACCAGAATCATTGTCGTCTTGATCTTGATCATCGTAAAGTGGATTTGTACGTAATTCCTCTAATCCTGGTAGTGTACCATAGGAAAAACTTCTCAATCGTCTTCTATCACGATCTTTTGTATCTTTTTTATAAATTTTTGCAATTAATTTACTTGTTGAACTTTTTAAATAACGATCTTGCATTGCACGAAATTTTGCAGCTAAACAACTCGATGGTGTTAAACTATCAAATTGTGCACCTTCTCTAATTGAATTTTCATTATTATTATTTATTTTCTCCTCTTCATTATCATTATCATTATTATTATTATTGGATTTATGCCAAGATTTGGGACTTTCGAGAAAATTTTCCGTTTGTGGTTTTTCTTCCTTATAGGGCGTTGATGTTCTAAAATTAAATAGTACAAATCTCTCGTCGGCATGATGTCGTGTTGTTAAACGACTGTGGGATTTTGATCGTTTCTTCCTTTTTGCCTGTGTTTTCTCCTCTTCGGTAAGTTCTTTTAAATCTTTTTCACAGACAGATCTTCGAATATCATTTCTCATTAATCCTCGACGATTTAATTCTAATTGAAATTCTTTTTTATCACTTTCATTATCATCATCATCAGAATCTTGATCGCGAAGAAAACTCAAACGTGTTGTTTTAACTTTATCAAGAAGTGGATTTCGTTTTTCACAAATTCTTCTTCTTTCTTCTTGTATTTTTTTCTTATCCTTTTTCGTTGATGTACGTTCAGTTGTTACTTGTGACGTTTGTATATTATAACAATTTCTCTCTGATTCGGAACTTGATGATTTTCGACGTGTCCATCGTACTGGTGATAGGTCTGCAAAATTTGAAAAAAAAAAATTATTTAATAATAAATTAAAAAGATTTCCGCTATATGTGTTGTCTTTGGATGAAAGAAATAGATGATGATAAAATCAAAGCAGGAAGAGAACGAGGAAAAGGAAATGGCTGAATTGTTAACAAGAATAACACTGAGAAGAATTGTAGAATAATGAAGTAGTAGACAATAATTGGAGAATAATATAAGGAAAAAAATAATTGAGAAAAGAATTAATTTTTATATTTTGCATATTACACTTTAAAAATTCCCCTAAAGTTCTCGATGTCCTTGGATTATATCTGCGACGAAATTTGAATAACCGGTGAAATTTCATCTTCATCTGTTTCGAAAGAAAAAAAAATTGCAAACTCTAGAAAATAATTTTTATAAAAATTTTTATTTAAAAATAAAACTGTAAATTCTTACTGGATTACACATAACATAAAACTGATACACTGAATTTTATCAAAATTTTCCCTATATTTCTTGTAAATTCAAATTAATTTGGAATTTTTGACTGGTAGGGAGAAAAAAAAAGTTGTTGACGGTAAGAAAGACGTCTTGGAACTGAAGAGACTTGGTTTGAAGCGTGACGTATTATACGTTCTGTCTCACAGGATGTGCGTACTGAAGGACTTCCTCCCCCTTTAAAGTGTACAATATACACACATGAATGATATATATATATATATATATGTGTGTACAGTAATAACAATTATACTCAGTATAAATGCATTTGAGTCTCTTTGGATGGGAAATTGCCTTGGGCTCTTATGTGGATTTTGATTCCCATGGGTTTATATACCTTTAGGATTAAAGAGTTTGCAATAAGAGTTTTTGAGATAAAAAGTGTCCATGGTATTCGATATCGTTATAAACCGGACTCAATCGAGAAAATTTTTCCATGTGTCTGTATATAGATATACATTACATATACGTATATGTAATTTATAAGTTACATAGATTCTATAGAGTGATGTATGAAGCACGTGAGGTGATTGTCAAACAGGCACTTTGAACATATTTTCAGTAGCTATACTGTCATTCAAAAGAACTGGTATCAGTTGCTTTCGATTAATAACAAAATTCTGAATCAAGAAAAAAAAAAAAGGTGAAAGTTTCGTAATACTGATCTATTATTTTCAGAAGCAGTGGAAAATTTTTATATAAAGACAATTTTCCTAGAATAACACAGAAAATTAAAAGGCATTAAAATAAGCTGCAACACTTATTATTTTAATCCATTTTGGAAATTAAAAATTAAAATAAGCTGCAACGCTTATTATCTTAATCCAATTTTGCTTATTTTAATCCATTTTGGAAATTAAAATTTAAAAAAATTAAAATAAGCTGCAACGCTTATTATTTTAATCCATTTTGAAAATTAAAAATTAAAACAAGCTGCAACGCTTATTATTTTAATCCAATTTTTCTTATTTTAATCCATTTTGGAAATTAAAATAACCTGCAACGCTAATTTTAATTTTTAATTTCCAAAATGGATTTAAAATAAGAAAAATTGGATTAAAATAATAAGCGTTGCAGCTTATTTTAATTTTTAATTTCCAAAGTGGATTAAAGTAATAAGCGTTGCAGCTTATTTTAATTTCCAAAATGGATTAAAATAAGAAAAATTGGATTAAAATAATAAGCGTTGCAGCTTATTTTAATTTTCAAAATGGATTAAAATAAGCAAAATTGGATTAAAACAATAAGCGTTGCAGCTTATTTTAATTTTTAATTTCCAAAATGGATTAAAATAAGCAAAATTGGATTAAAATAAAAAGCGTTGCAGCTTATTTTAATGCCTTTTTATTTTTTTTTGAAATTAAAAATCCTTTTAATAAAAGAGGAAATTATTAATTAAAAACATATCAGACAAATTATTAAAGAAAAAACAAAATTGTTGTAAAGTGATACTTTTATTTAAAGTTTAAGAAAACAAATAATTAATTCTCATAAGCTATTTGTAACCAGAATAAAACTGAACAAAAGAAAAATGTCAAAGAAAGTAAAAATTTATTTTCTTTTTGTTGTATATATATGTATGCGACTTTCTTTCCATATTGTTGGGAAAAATTGAGTGAAATTTGATAATACAGTTATGTTTATAGAGAACATATTTTTCAAGCAATCAAATGCAATTTTGTATATAAAATAGAGGCAATTTTCTGAATAATACGCACTTCTTTTTTTTTTTTTTTCCTATAATAAAACGCGATTTAGTATCAAATTATACGAAAATATATTTTTAACTATGATTTCATAATCAAGTTTCTTGAAAACTGGTTTACAGTCAAAAAAGAAAAGAAATTTGTTTCTGAAAAAGAAAAAATTTCTTCAATTACAGAATTAATAGTACGTCATAGCTACAAATACAATTCTCGAGTGTAGAAAAAATGTAACGAAAGTTTTATGCAAATAAACAAGTTCAAAGAACTTGACTAACTCTATTGTGAGTTTTATACCAGTCGTGGGTGTTATTCCCCGTCTTAAATGAACCGTTATTATTACTCAAATGTGAATTTAATGAGTAAAATGCGAATGATTAAAAGTATTTAGAATAGTTTTTTTTTTATTTTTTAATAAACCCTCTGGATTTAATTTTTCAAATTATAAGAAAGGAATTTATTTTTTTTTATATACTAAAGAATAAGAAAAGATTGCGAGGAAAAAGTATCAATGAAGAAGACTAAAATAGATTTTAAAAAAAAAGTCAAGGAAGAAAATAAAAGTGATTAAAAAGTCATCTTATACAGGAAGTTAAGAAACGAAGAAGTAAAAATAGTAATAGGTGTAAAAGAAGACGAGAGGGACAAGAATAATAACATAAAAGAAAGAGAGAGAGAGAGAGAGAGAGAGAGAGAGAGAGAGAGAGAGAGAGAGAGAGAGAGAGAGAGAGAGAGAGAGAGAGAGAGAGAGAGAAGAAAAAGTAATTAACGTGAGAAAATAGAAGATACAAAAACGGATGTGATGTATAAAATATAGATATAGAAAGTAAATAAATACACCGAAAAAAATAAAATCTCCAAATGAGAAGAAAATTCCGCTCATAAATTACTTTTACATTTTATTTTCAATATACGAATATTCATCTACAAAGAGGAGGATTTTTCTTCTTTATTTGAGAATATTTTTATTAAATGATAACTTTTAATATTTTCTCTTTGATTGAATTTATTCATTTGCATTTAAGATTTTTTTTCTATAATTGAAATTATTCCTCTCAAAATGAAACAAATTTATGCTGTAAAAAAGATTTTTATAGTTTCATTTTGTTTTGTTGCGCGCATCTTCAAACTGTTTGAAAAGTGACAGTTCAAAATAAAATGGACAACGAGCTGAAAAATCTGTTATCTGAAATTGGACTTTCTACATTAATTATTTAATTAACAAATTTTTCACTGAAAATTAAGGTTTTAATGTATAAAAAATTATTTCGATTCATATTAAAAACTGTGATAAATTTATTATAATTTATCAACAATGCGATCTGTTTAACCCCTATTTTTTCTAGGGTTAGAATTTAATAATATTCAAATCAGAATTGATTATTTCATCAATTTGACCTCTACACTATTTTAAAAATATATTTACTTTGATTTAAATAATCCATTAACTTTTTTTCACTTGAATACTGAGCACTTTATTTTAAAATGAACAAAAACTAAAAACATTTTTATCAACCTGAAAATCTTTGGTACTTTATTGTATAAAAACTCAGCTCGTGTTTTCGCCGTCTATATTTTTTCTCCAAAAATGGTTCCTATCATTATAAATTACTTAATCCGAGTAATAACGAGTAAATTAAATCATAAATTTCTTTTAACCCTGTAAAGAAGGTTGACATTTCTGAATTTGACGTAAGTTTGAAACAAGATGAATAAATCTTTATTTGAAATTATTCCTCTCAAAATATAAAAGAGGAAAATCCTCTCAATTAGATATGAAAACTTTAGTGCCCATATATAAAAGGAAAAGTTGCTGCAAAAGAAGAGGAATCCTCTAAGTTTGAGAACTTTTTTTTTTCGGTGTAAAAAGAAAATTTTAATTCAAAAGAATGAAGAAGAATAAAAAGACAAAAAAGAAGAAAAAAAAAAATTTGGAAAAATAATAATCCTAATCTTTAATAAAAATTTTAAAAGAAGAATAAAGAAATAGAAAAAAAAATTATAAAGAGATGAAAAAAAATGGTAAAAGTGAATGAACGTATTAAAAAAAAAAAGTAATTGTTTATCTCACCTCTGAATCGAGTCGTTGAATGAAAATGAGATGCACGATCCAGGTCTTCTTCAGCTTGAAGTGGACTTAAACTGAGAAGTCTTGGTGCTTCGATGTGGGCCTTAAACCAACGCATTCTATAAAAAAAAATAAACAAAATTAAATAATTTTATTTCAATTTATTCATAAATAAATAAATAAATAAGTAAAGTTATTTACTTCCGAATAAATATATAAATAATGCTCCATTATTTTAAAAAACTTATTTTAAATTTAGTTATATAATAAATTTCATGAAATAATAATTAATAAGTTCTCTATTCTTGGCATGAGAATAAAAAGTGAAATATGAGCATAGTCATTTGATAATAGTTTCAAATTCCCTATAATAAGTATTAAATATTATATTACGTAAAAAATAATTTAAATAATTTTGAACATAATAATAATTTAGATAATGTTTCTATAATTTGATATTTAATAATAATCATTTTCGTAAATATACAATTTAAAAATCATTAATTTCAAGGGATTAAAAGTTCTTTAACACTTTTGTGCATCATCTCCATTTTTATAAAACGTTGCATGATTATAAATTGTATGTAACATTAGATGTATCATTATATATATATATATATATATATATATATATATATAGCAATCATATAATTTTCTAAATAAAAAAATAATAATAATAAATGTCTATCATGAGACACAATTAGATAGTTTCCGTTGGAGATCGGTGAACCGAGATTCTCATTTCTTTCTATAACTTTTGCCCTAATTTCAAACAAAAAAAAAAAAATAAATAAAAACTTCTTAAAGAAACAAAAATCTCTTCAAGCGTTTCGAAACTAAAAGCTTTGACCATCGTACAAAATTTTAAATTACAAGACAAAAAAAAATGGGGTATAATTAAAGGTTCACGGCGGAAGTAAATTAGACCATTGAAACCTTCTTCAATGATTTTTAGGGAAATTTTTCCACTTTAAATATCACACTACAAATATCAAAAATTTTCCCAGGAAAATATTTTTAATAATAAGTTTTAAATTATTCCCTTAAAATTATTATTATTATTATTATTTAATATTGAATTGATATTTTCATTATATTTTTTTTATTTAATTAAAATTATTATTAAAAGAAGAAGAAATATTTCTTACTAAAAATTGATTTTGAAAAAAAAAAATAAAGAAATAAAATTTGTTATTAATAATATATGAATGTTAATAAAATTAATGTTGGTTCTGTTTTGTAAACAAAGAGGGGAACTATTTAATTAAAGGTAAATATAAAATAAAATCAGTCAGGTCTAAAAGAGGGTTTTTCCAAGTAATACAAAATATAATAAAACAATATCACTCTGTAAACGCTCCTTTTAGCAGGTCATAAACCGGTGAGAATTAAAATTCACAAAGGAAATTCAGTTTCAATTCGTCAGTCGTTGTGTTAATAAGTTAATTCACGTCAAGATTTTTTTGTTAAATATAACAAAAGTGTTATATTTCCTAAAAACCGCAAACGATTTTATTTTTATTTCTATTTTTTTCAAAACGTATTTTTTTTTATTTCGGGAGTGCTTGGATTTATCTTAAATCGCGATATTCTTAATTTTTTTAATATTATTAATTTTTTTCCACGTGGTCACGGGAGTGTTTGAAATTTTCTTAAAACCCTCGTTCGTTTCGGAACAAGTTTAATTTTCGTTTTAATTTTTTTTTTTGTATTTTCGGGAGTGTTGAAAATTTTTTAAAGTGTTTTTTTTTTATCAATTTGAAGGAATCATAATTCACGGTAAGTATTTTTGTTTAATTAATTAAATACGATTCTATTAAGAATTATATAGTTCCAAAATTATAAAAAAAAATTCATATTAAAATAATTCCAAAAAAAAAAAATATAATTGCAATGTTATTTTTTTCTAATTTTAAAATATTTTTTTTTGTTTCAGACTGAAGGATGCTGCGCCATTGCTCCATCGAGGAAATCCGCGAACGGTAAGTCAAATACAATTTTCCTTTTTTTAATTTTTTCTCGATTATTTCTTTTTGGTTTTTTTTTGAGATTTACTGTTATTGTACAGTATTTCGATTAAATATTTTTTTTAAAGGACACTCGAGCAAAATATTTTGGTACTTAAAAATTTTGCGCGGGGCACGCATTTCAAATATGCTGCAGGGCAAATTTCGCGGGTATTCCTGGAAAGTTAACCAACGATCGGTTTTGCATTATTTTTTCTGTTGCTTCTCTTCTTTTTGAGGAATTTATTATTTTAATGTAATTTTTTTATTTTATATTTTTTTATATTGAAATATTAAATTTTTTTAGTTTTAGCCAAAAATTTTATTTACTCTAGGGACAAGAAAATCCTAAATAAAAGGGAATAAAAATATTTGTTTTTTTTTTTTTTTTTTTTGTAACGGTGTTAAATCGCCACACAGTGGTTATTAACCCGATTTTGTATGGCACTTGAACGCATACAACGGTCAAACGTCGTGAAGTGAGAAAATTACGACTTGAACCTCAAGTCGATTTTGTGTTTAACGAGCCATTTGTATCCACCCTGAAAAGCCTATTGAGATATGTGCTTTGGAATTTTTTTTTTTTTTTTTTTTTTAAGACTTGTCCGAAATTCAAATTAATTATTGTACACATTCCTTTAAAATTAATCGCTCATTGACTTCAAGAGTCATAATCATTTATTTTGATTTCATTGTATAATAAAGTGTATTGCTACACGTTTTTTTTTTTTCAAAATTAATAGCCTTTTGAATGACGCATTAAAAATATTTCTCTACCGTTTAGTAAAAATAGTTCCAAGCCCCGAAAAAAAAAATATCTTATAAAATTTCTTTATTAAAGTATTTTCAAATTGTGAAAAAGAAGCAAAATTTTCAAGAGAAAAAATTTTAATAAATTAAATTTTTTTTACCAGTTACTATTTTTTCTGTTTGAAAATTTTACGATTGGAAATTTTAATTTGTTTTTTTTTAAATTAAAATATATTAATTTCCATGGAAAGTGCGATGAGTTGTCGATATATATGAAAGAAAGGAGGAACATAATTTAATTAAAAAAAAACTTAAGTCGCGAATGAATAATGAATTATGCATAATAAGCCGATCAAAGTGTAAAGTTATGCAAAAGGTATGTGTATATAGGTATATTAATCGATTTACTGTCGATATACATATATATATATATATATATATAGTGTGTATAGGGAAAAAGAGAGAAGAAGACTTTCTCTGGCAATGCAAATATGTATGCCACATCCATATTCTTTGCTCTTTCACTTTTCATTGATATATACCAAAGAACCCGCGCGAACCATTCGATTCCCACTAATCAAGGATAAATTGAGAGAGATCCTGTGTATATAAAAAGTTCATGGTCGTCGTTTCAATTCCTTTATGAGAAACATTTCACATTCTTTTTTTAATTCGTTTATTTCATCAAAATTTATAAAAATTAAAAAAATATATATGGGGCATTCTATAGAAAATTTTCATTGAAAATTATTTTTTTTCGAAATCTATATGAAAAATAAGGAAATACGTATTTTTTTATTTTTTTATTTGATGAAAATGAAGGAAGTTATGATTTTTTGAAATTTTACGTCAACGAAGAAATTGGAACATCTTTTAATCTATTGTACTAAGAAATTAATAATTATGCTATATATGAAATTTGTTCGTTTTTTCTCAAATTTTTCAAATATGTGCTCAAAAATAACGTACCTATAAGAGAAGTAACAAAAAAGTTGAAATTAAACTCAAAAAGTGAGTTTTCTCAAAAGAGACACTTTCGATTTTTAATTTTTTTTTTTTTGCATTACAATCTCTGATGATTGAAAAATTTTTTCCCCTATCTGCGAAAGTGGTACTTTTAGTTTTTAAATTACTATTTACAATTTTTAAGCTTGACGCAACGATTTTTAGTATGTTTTTATGAAAATTAAAAAAAAAACAAATGAATGTTAATGGAAAAAGGTTATATATTTGTAGAAAAAATGCTTAAATTCTTTGAGCCGTACTAAAAAAATTATAAATAGTAATTTAAAAACTAAAAATACCACTTTTGCAGAAAGGGGAAAAAATTCTCCAATCATCAAAGATTGTAATGCAAAAAAAAAAATTAAAAGTCGAAAGTGTCTCTTTTGAGAAAACTCACTTTTTGAGTTTAATTTCAACTTTTTTGTTACTTCTCTTATAGGTACGTTATTTTTGAGCACATATTTGAAAAATTTGAGAAAAAACGAACAAATTTCATATATAGCATAATTTTTAATTTCTTAGTACAATAGATTAAAAAATATTCCAAAAACACACACGTAAAATTTCAAAAAACCATAACTTCCTTCATTTTCATCAAATAAAAAAATACGTATTTCCTTATTTTTCATATAGATTTCGAAAAAAAATGTTTTGGACATAAAAAAATTTTTAATGAAAATTTCCCATAGAATGCCCCATATGTATATACAATTGTTATTTAAAAAAAAATGTAAACTATTTTTTATTTATTAAAATTTAAAGAAAAAAAAAGATTTCTTAAGAAAAAACCGCATAATTATTATAATTAAATGTGTCACGTAAAAATCGTGTGCTTTTTTTTCACATTATATAGATATGCGCAATGACGCAAAAAGAGTTCCTTTGTATAAATATTATTTGCAATCGATGTGTGATAGCGTAGAAAACAAAATTGTATGTTATTATTATTATTATTATTTACCGTGCGGCAATAACTTTAATATATGTTAATATGCGCTAATTTTTCGCAGATTTCGTCTGAACAATATTGTGTAATTTTTTTACATGTTCAAAGAGGGGAAAAATGTTATAAAAATTTCGTTTAAGAATTTCAACATTATGTTTAAATAAAAAAAAAAAAAAAAAGTGGCACTGTCATATTATGAAATTCTACTACTGAAATATCAGAAGTTCTTTTCTGACACTGACAAAGTCAACATGACACTTATTTCGAAATAAGAAAATTGCATGCTACTGTTTGCATATATATACTATATAATTTGAGACCCTTTAAGTTCCATTGTTTAGATTCAATAAAATTAGAGCAGGCATCGTTAAAAATAATTACCATTTAATCAGAGTAATAAATTTATCAGAAT